TATTGCTCTTGATCTTTAACATGTACATACGAGTGTAATGTTATGTATTAGTAAGGGGAAATTGTGAGGAACCATTGGGCCAATTATTTGGGCTTCAACCCTCACAGTCGCCATAAAAGTTCAATAGGCCCATTTCTTAATCGTTACAACTCAGTTAAAGTGTGTTTAATTTTATTTTTGCTTTAAAGAAAAGTAAATAAATTTCAAAGAAACGCTGTAATCAAAAAGGAAAAATATAGAGAGATGAAGAAACCGGGAGGAGGCGGCGGAGGAGGAGCGGCCGTCGATAAGAAGCGCAGTAGGCGTCCATACGGAGAGTCCAGCACTGAGACCCCTCCTAGGGTTGGTTAATTAACGTTTTACTAATTACATATGTACGCATAGAAAGAAATATAAAATTTTTAATCTTTGCATGTTGTTGTGCTTATAATGTGCTTTATTATTGAATTTTGGTGATTTCCTGATGTTTTGTTACATTTCCATGGAGGATCTGACCCCAATTATAAAAGCCCCAATGTAAATATTTTGTCATTTTAAATTTGTATTTCTTTTCAAATTTTTATACAGGATGCTTAAGATTTTGGGTAGTTCACGAGGAACGACAGATACAATAACTCTGGCATGAATTTAACTTTATTTTTCGTATAATTGTAATTTAGCTTATTTTGTCCCTTCTTAATATCATAAAAGCAATGCAACCTATATAGAACTCATTTTTGCGATGATTTAATTATGTCCACTGTGGAAAGATAGGAAGATTTTCGAGTTTGGCAGAACATAATGTGGATTTCGGATTCAAATAAGAGTTTATATTCATATACCTTTGAAGTGATATTCCCAATTCTAATCCTTTCGTTCAACCAAATAAAGGTTACTATGGATTTTTTAGACGGTGGGATAGAGAAGCCCTTTCTGAGACCCTTTTTTTTTTGTCATTTTCTATCTTTCTAAAGAAGAGGTGTCACTATATTTAATCATGATCGCAGTTTCTTTCGTTCCTTCTTTATGTAAATTGCATGATTGTTTTTTCCCTTTTAAATATAAATACCCCTAAATTTATAATGTTTTTGGACTGGTCAAAATCCATAGAGACTGTGTAATAGGACTTTCACTTTTCTCTCGAGTCTCTTGCTTCGCAGGTCACTTATTTGTTCAATCAGTCCTATACCACTATTTTTATTTCTTTGAATTTCTGGCATATCAACAAAGCTTGAGAAAAAGAATAATTTACTGATTTAAAATGAAAACAAATAAAAGAAAATGAATGCGTTTTTATTCTTGAACACTTTCAAGCTGCTTATACTTTATAGCGATCCATTGAATAATATAGCTGTTGCTACGTTCTTGCTACTTTTACATCCTATAGAACAAACGTGATAAATTTCAAACCAAAGGTAAGTCCGACCTTGCTTGGGGACTGATAACATGTAATTTAAAGATGAAGTCTTTACTTTGCCCATAATTATCGGAGACAGTTGTTTAAGATGGATTTCTTTAACTGCCCATTCTCTTGATTTTTGGTTAAGAATAAGTTTCAAGGTGCATGCTACTTGCATCTTTTTCATGTTAATTAATCCTTATTATGGTGATCCAATATGCTTCTCATTTAAAATTAACCTTTCCCCTTTCCAAATTTTAATTGTTGAAGAGTTTTACGTATACATTGAAGTGCATGAAAAAGCGAGAATAAGCGGATTTAAATGTTGGAATACTTTATTACACAGGTTTATATTTTTGTCGCATAAAATAGACTCTGGATAAAGTGAGCGAGTCTATGGAATGGACTCTCAAAAGTTTATTTCATTGCATACGTAGAGAGGATTGAAGCATTACCGAAAATTCATGCAATAAAATCCAGGATTTGGTCTGCATGTGTTTGTTGGCAAATATTTTTCTTTTTCTCTGAAAGGAAGAATCTCAGGGAACTAGTTGAGCAAGAAAGAAAATAGATATGCACATTTCCCTCACAGGATCTTGGGTTCTTATTATAAGTTACCCATCTTTTTATATTGTTCCCCGTGTCCAAAAAAATGCAAGGAAAAATCGAAAATAATTGAAAATTGTCACTCATCTAATTTGCAGCAAATCTATTTACAAGAAGTGTAATTGATTGTTTTTCTTAAATTTCTGATGGTTTTATACATCTTAAATCTTACCCGATGCCCTCTTTTAAATTCCAGAAGCAAGACGCGAAAAAGGACGTGTTTCAGGTTTTTGCTGAGAAAGTAAGAGACCATAAGAATCTGGAGTCTAGATGGGCTGTCTTACAAGAGACAAGAGTGGAATATTTTAGAGGAAAAGATTTTGTTAGCTTTTTGAGAAATCATCCAGAGCTCAAAGACATTCTTGAATCAGACAGGAACTTAGAAATTGAAGATATAGGCAACATTCTGCTGAGAAAAAATCTTATAGTGCGGTGTGATCGTGTTGTCAAAACCCTTCGGCCCGGGAAGAAAAAGTTGTCTACATGGCCAGCACATTTGGAGATATTCTCGGTGAGTTCTCAAAAAAGTTTGTTCACAAGGTCAACCAGAAAGGTGTTCTTTATTTAATTTTTTTCTTTGGGGTAGGGGTGGGCCTGGTGGCAGCGTTTGAACTTTGTGTGGTTGGTTATGGTATGGTATGATATAATAACAAGAACAAGCTAGCACTTCATTAAAATTAGAGCTACATGAGTCGTAAATGTCGTGAAACACAATTCAAGCTAGCTCAAGATGAATAAAATCGAATAGTTTGGAAATCACCACAGTCCTTGAGATTGCATAACTAACTAATGAAATTTTTGAGTCCACGTAATTATCCCCATTCAGCCTGGTAATTATTATTTAGTTTCTCATTTCTGTTGGATGGATTTATACTTCTTTATCTCTTATCTATTGATGCTTTGCAGGAGCAAGTTTTTTCTGATAATGATGCCTTCTTTGCTTGGACATTTGTGAACCGAAGACCATTGTGGCAAACACTTCTCTCATTTTTCTGGCCTGTTTTGACCCTTGCAATCTGCTTGTTTCCTGTGTATCCCCACCGCTGCAAGCTATTTATTCTCTACTTCTGTGCGGGTTTACTGCTGCTTATACTTTCCCTGCTTCTCTGTAAGTTCTTTAGTGCTGCTTATATTTAGTCTTAACTCCTTTTGTTTCTTGCAATTCCCCTCGTACTTGGTGTGTGTAAGATGAACACTAAGAAGAATTTGACACGCAATGTTCTTTTCTCATCTTTCATGTGATAATACTGTTTCCATTGTTTGCAAATATACATTATTATATTGTGCTGGGAAAACGTAGAATAAATAGGATTGAGAGAGAGTTTAACCGAGATATCATTTTTGCTAAACATGTGCCTAGTATACTGTGTAGGAGTTTCTAGAAAAAAGTTCTTTCTAGTCTAGGGCAAGAGTTTGGAAATAATTAATTTTTTACTTATATATTTAATTTGTTTTGATGGCTAAAAAAGGGAAAACTATGTACTATGGCCAACCATCTATATAGATACAAAAAAGTGAACACCAGTTCTCATGAAAGATTTGTTTTGATCTTTCTTATTGATTGATGTTAGCAAGGACTAGAAAAAGGTGATATGCCATTTAATAGAACATTGAGTTTTTTTGTCTCTGAATATTGATTTTTTTTTACTAATTAAGTTTTCTTTTACCTGAACAGCTGAGTTTCACTCTTCTATGATTATCGTGAACAATTTGCTTGATAATTTTTTATAGATACTTAGCTCATTTGGCAATCCATTCTTTCTGTCTTGCGGTGGTTGACGTCACATTTATTTATTCATTTCTATATGAAATAGCTGCCATTGAATCAAATTTCGTGTGCTGATTCTTTTCCTGCAGTAAGAGCCTTTGTCTTTGGATCTCTATGGATACTTCTTGGAAAGCGTGTTTGGCTTTTCCCGAACATTCTTGCGGAGGAAGCAACACTCAAGGAATTATTCCAGTTTTGGCCCAAGAAGGATGAGGACGAGCGTCCAAAGTGGACGGTTAGGCTATTTTATGCAATAGTAGCTGTGGTGGTCTTTTTACTTCTGAGGCACCATGCTCCTGATGAAGCCGCTAGAGCCAGGTATGTGTTTCTAAAATAAAATTTTTCCGACCTGCAACCAAAAACAAAGAAGGAAATTAAAAGAAAGATGAAATGATAGTGCTTGTAAATGTTTTGACTGTTTCTAGCAAAATCTTTTTTATTTTAAATTTATTTATTTATTTTGTTTCCTCTCCCCCTTCTTTCGGTCTTCGTGTACACTAAACTAATAAATATATCTACAAAAATCAATTCTTATCTACTTCCCCTCCCCTCCCCTCCAAAATCGTCACGTTTCTCGAAGGGGGTAAACAAAAGGCTAATCTTGCCGGGAATTTTTTTCTAGTAGGTGATTTTGGTTTATGGAATATTGGCTAACGAAGGAAGGCCTCTGTAGAAAATTTTGCAAGGCTTCTTTTCATTTCCTTTCACTACCTTGGCCATCCATTGAAAAATTCCATTAATTTCTTTGTATCAGAGATTACAATCCCTACACTTGTTTCTTTTTGTTTGTCATTTTTAATGGTTTTGGCTTGTATATGTGGTGGGATTATGACTTCTGACTCATATTTGATCTTATTTTTTGCTCATACTATGAACCTGTTTGGGGTGGCTTATGTTAAAAACAAGCTCCAAATGTGTGGCTTATTTGAATGTAGGTGGGTCCACATTAAAAATAAGCTACACATTTCTTATTTTTCAGTATTGGCCACCCCTAACATGCTCTATAAGCAATTATTGCACTTGGATGGTCGACAAATATCAGAAATGTAACGGAACAAGGATTAAGGTCTACAAATAAAGCTCTAATCTCCTTGTAGTCTGAGGCAAATTTTTCGTTATTTTCCATTTCATGTCATGTTTGATAGAAAAAGACTGGATAACACAAGGCATAAGGATGAAAAAAGGCAAAGCTAGTGTTTTTTATAAGTATATAGTGTACCAAACAAGCATATGTACATATGTAGCATGTGCAAGAGCACGAGTGGGCACCAATGCACGATGCTCAAATAGAAACTTCTCTTCTTGCAGGTATCAGAAGCGGGTTTCCAACATAATTGATGACGTTCTTGAGTGGTCCCCAAGTCTTGCGCTGTCGGGGATGATGGAGAAGCAAACCATGTTTAATGCTACTGATCCCGATGGTAATGTCACTGATGGGAGCAAAAGCACCACGGAACAGATGGCTCAACCTGAGGATGTAGAGGGTGATATCAGCACTGTTGAAAATGAAGTCGAACAATCTATTGAAAATGCAGAAGATACAGATCACCATTAATCATTGTTGCAATTATGTGTAACTGTAGAACATGAAATCTCAATCAGGCAACAGGATACATAATTTTTTTTTTTTTTTTCCATTTTCCTTTTTAACCTCGAATTATGTTTTGACCTTTTTGCTGTCAGTTTGTCTTGAGTGTATAACTTTGTAATTTGTTCTAAATATACAAGATGGCATTCTTACTAGAAAACGAATGGTAGTGTTTTCTTCTGATATCCTTTTGGTTATTAGCTTTGGCTAGGCTCAAAGCTTAACTCTTGATGCTGGAGCTTGCCAAACTTTACGGAGTTTGACCAAAACCCATCTTCAGTTGAGACAAGTAATTTGCTCGCATGAAGCGAGAATGGTAGGAATGAGGATGAGCCAGAAAACTGTCTCGTTTAATATGCAAACCCGATGTATTACTAATCCTTGAGCATTATTAGGCAAGTCAAGCACGTGACTTATATAGAATAAATACTAAAATGCATGATAAACAAAACATTCGATTAACAAAATCATCTCACGAAGGGGATTGCATTGACTTGGCCCAAGCAAATATTTAGCAAAGACGTAGGTTTCAAAATCATATGGGACTGACGCCTGTTCAGTGTCGGTAAGTCAAGAAAGTGACCTAATGATAGTGTAGCCGATGACCGAAGCCCGAGTAAACGACAACTGTAAAATAATGGTCCTAAAATAGATAAATTCCTTGTTGGGCAAGTTTCAATCCGCGCAATTGAAGTGAGAATATGGACAGAGTCTCAGTGAGAAGCTAAGAGAGTCATATTTGTGAAGATGAGAAATTCTCTCCCCTTTTATTAATGTTCATGATACCTAGTGGTCGACTCAACACCCGGCGAGCCCCAGCGGCCGCCCACGCTGGATTCCACAGGAAGAGTTTTTATTTTGTTGACAATGAAGAAACTTTTAACATTATATACTTGGTATGTTCTTTTGTTTTCATAAATGTCTTGTAACTCAGTTGGCCTTACCTTGTATTTTCAAGTGAAAGGTCCCTGTTTCGAATCCCCTCCTAACAATTTTATTGTCAAAACATTTTTAATTCTACAATTTTTACCAAACTAAGATGGAATAATGGAGAGAGTTCGAACCCATGACCTCTTCGTGGAAAAATGTACTCCTGAGTGGCATTCATAGATTTTGTAACTAAATTGACCAAACTAATATATCTTACATGTTAACGGTTTTAATGCAATTTTAAAAATTCGATGCACCTCCTCTGAATTATACAAAACTTGACCACAATATCATTTGATAAATATTTTTAATTAATACAACATAATTATATATATTCAGTTTAACAAAATAATTGTTATATTTAAATTTTAGACCTTATTTGATTTCTTTTTTTCTTTTTTTAATACATGTATCTCTCTTTTTTCAACTGTAAATTTTTCAATAAAATAATATTACATGCAAATTCAAAATTTTTTCTTATTCTTAACCACACATTTTCCATCAAATCATTATTCCAAAATACATTTTTTGCTATAAAAAAAAATGAGAATCACACGGGGCTCTTAACATTTTATTGCTGCCGAGCCGACGCTCCACGGCCGCCCGTGCTGGCTCGAACTCCTGAAAAAAAAAATGAGAATCAAACGGGGCTCTTAACATTTTATTGCTGACGAGACGACGATCCACGGCCGCCCGTGCTGGCTCGAACTCCTGGGTCTGTCACTGATGATACCTGTGAATGAATTTCATCCACAAAACACTATGATGTACCATGTCAAATATCAGAAATAAAAAAAATAGCATCCAACCACCGAAGCCTAACATTTTCATAAAACAATCAGCATCCACACACACACTGTCAACTTCAGAAAAGGGTTATGCAGTAACATGCTAATCCCAGTACCAACTTTACATAGTTCTAACATCTAACAAGAGAGAGACTTTTTCCTACTCAAACTTCGTCTGATCCAGGCCTATGTAGCTCACATTTTGTACAAGAACACTGAACTTTTAAACAAGATAAGAAAGTTAATTTATCTTCCCTCATCTCTACAAGCTAAAAGAAACACAGCCAAGAATGAATTGCCATACACCTTGGGCAAGCCAAGATTTAAACAAGAAACCAGAATTTCGTAGCTTTCACTAAACATAGAAACTCACTGCATGGAAAGTGAACGGTTTGATACAATATTTTTCCACTACTGATTTGAAGCGCGCCCTTCCTCTCTCTCATCGGACATGTTAATTTGCTTTCTAACACTGGTGATATCATTATTGCAAGAATGTTCGGCCTTGAGCACTTTCATTTCGGAGGGCAAGGGCTCAGAACTTGATGAAGTAAAGGAATGTGATGAGACGGCAGAACCAGATCGCATCTCCTTTGAGGTGTCGGCATCAGACTTCTTTTCAAAACGTCCTCCGGAACCTCTTGCCCTCCTCAAAGCATGCTGGTGTCGGGATTCGTGAAGATAAGGCTGAAAGTCGACAAAAGAAAAACAATTACCAGCAATACAGAGACCAGAACTCTAGAGAAAGAACTTAAGAATCATGAATCAGCTTCCAAATGGAGCATACATGCTCACATATGCTACTTTTTTCTTTCTTTTAAGTCAAAAAAAAAGTTGCACATTCAAAAGTTAGTCTCACTTTATTGTCAAAATAAATTACTTATTTCCAACTTTGACCAATAAAAAAAATTATTCATTTTAAAACATAATTATTCACTTTTAACTTATAAGTGAACTTCTAACCTTACCCAAGTATGCTCTTATTTTCGTTGCTTAAGAATTTTATGTGGGCAACTTCCCATTAGAGGCTAATCAGGGAAACAGAAATGTTTGCGTAACCAACCTTTCGAACTTTTATTAATTTCTTTTCAAGCTCTGCTTTAGCACGTGATTGCCTTCTACGAAGAATCCCATGGTACTGCTTGGCATTCACATACACGGGCTCCTGTGTCATTTCCATTGGCAGCATCATCCTCGTATGATGCAAATCGTATATAATAGGAACCTGATCAAAAGAACAATCATTATCATTTTTTATTTTTTTTCTGAACAATTTGAGATTACACCACATCCAATTAAATTGAAACAACTTTCCCTAGAATGTCGAAAGATCATATGATAAAAGCTAATATCCTCCCAAAAAAATTATAGCAACTACAATATTGACTGACTGATTTGAACTCTTCAGCCTAAAGTAATAAATCGATTCAAAGGGGACTTTTGTGATGTCATAACCATGCCATCCTAGGGTAGCAATTTTGCCGTCCATTAAGAAAAATAAATGATGGAAAATATTAGGTACAGAGTGAAATTTATTAAATTATTCCAATCCCCTTTTGTTAACTTGATATTGAGCTGCATACTACCTATTAACACAATAAAAAGTGTTATAAAAATTTTCAAATATTACAAACGAGCAAAAATAGAAAAAATGATTCTTAAAAAAAAGTTTTGACTGTGCATGAAACTCCTTGCAGGTTCACTGAACCAAAATTAAATAGTCACCCCTCCTTTGGACAGGATCTAACATTTCATTAGCGGGCTCCACTTAAATTGACAGATGGCTGTTCATTGGTATCAACGGTCACCTCACAGCTTAACTTCTAGATCACATGCAGCCGCAGTCAATGCACAGCCACGTAACAGCATCAGCCGTCACCAATGATACTCAGCCCTTGTTTGAGCCCCATTTTTGTATGAAAATGTGTCTTGGAATAGTAATTTGTTTTGGAGAATGTGTAATTAAAAAATAAGGAAAAGTTTTCGGTTTACGTGTCAAATTATTTTATGGAAGTATGTATAGTTGAAAACGTGTTTTGAAAAAAATGAGTTTTTGAAAAAATGGGGGCCAAACATAGGCTTTGTTTCTTTCGAAGAATTGCCTAGAGTTTCTCCAAGTTTTTACCCCCCTCTCTAGCATTATAATTTTTTTTCTACAATTAATAAATGGAATTTGTTATCATTTTCAGTAGTCTTTCTTTACAGCTTTCTTTACTTATTTTAACCCAATATGTGCAATCAACTTTTATAGCATGAGTGTTCGGTAGTAGTCTAGTGAAGATGACTCCTTCCCGCACAGTGCCCCTTTCTGAGCCTTATATAAGGTGCCCTGTGCTACATGGTCCAGTACTGATGATGTCTTTTTATATTCTCTCAACCTATAGTACTACATATTATTAAGTTCTCACAAGAAAAAAAGGCCAATTGCATTAAATAGGAATGGAAACAAGAAGCCAGGCACACACAATCCCCACCTATAATCAAGTACACACTTCCCTTTTGACAATTTAATAATGAAGAGAAGAAAATAAGAAATGAGCTACTGCATTCAAAACACAAGTTACCACTCATGCACATACAGAAGGCTGGCCGTAAGCTGCCATCATTCCTCCATATGGATCGTAAGGATTCATAGCACAGGCCTGAAAAGGAGCTCAAAAACATAAAGAAATGTTTTACATGATAAAAATACAAACTTCAACAATAAAATTATCATGTCATTGGAAGTGAGCTACATTCGACATAGTTTCAAGTTCTCATTGAAGCATTCTTACAATTGAGTGCCCAACAAGCTCGAGCTGTGGGGACTGCGTTATGTTGTCACCACTCCGGCATATGGTTGCTGAATCTCGCTGAAAATTCTGACCCTTCCGTCCATAATTTCTATCTAGCCTTGAAAATATGTCCCATTAGTATCAACTTTCATACATGATATAACAAGAAAGAAATTCAACATAATTTTAGTGAATAAAACCAATAAATTTTTTTATTTTAACAAGGACTTCACCTATATTCCAACAAAAACCAACTTCAGCAGACAGCTCTAGTTTGACTCAACTAATAATGGGGACAAGAATGTGTGAGCTAGAAATATGTCTTGGCAATCAGAGAGGGTCTGAGAAAATTAAAAGAAACATTCCTTTTAAAGTAATTGGCATATGTGAAAAAGGTACCTGGTGTTTCACATATAGTACCTTCTGATTGTTTGATGGCATTGCCCTCTTCATTTATGCCACCCTCAGACTGTGA